GTGGTGGCGGAAGGAGTCCCCTGGTGGGTCATCCTTCTGGCTGTCCTGGCCGGGCTGCTGGTGCTGGCACTGCTGGTGCTGCTTCTGTGGAAGGTGAGGCTTGGGGAGTGTGGGGCTGATGGGGGGTGGACTTCCGGGTCAGGCTTTCAGTCTTCCCTATCCATGCACTCCCGTATTCAGCAAATCTGCACTGACCAATTACCCTGCATGTCGCAGGGTAATGTCTCTTGGGCCCTGGACGTTTCAAAGATAAGTCAAGGCCAGGCGCGGTGGCTCAAAGGCCTGTAATTCCAGCACTTTGGGAAGCCGAAGCAGGAGGATTGCTTGAGCCCAGGAGTTGAAGACCACCTGGGCCACGTAGCAAAACCTAGACTCTACAAAAAATGAAAATAAGAAAATTAGCCTGGCACGGGGGTGCATGCCTAGAGCCTCAGTTACTCAGGAGGCTGAGGCAGAAGGATCGCTTGAACTTGGGAGGTTGAGGCTGTGATGAGCTGTGATCCCGCCATCACACTCCAGCATGGGTGCCAGAGACTCTGACTGAAAAAAAAAGGCATATGCAAATCTCGTCCTCAAGGATTTTATAGTCTAGTGGGGGCAGTAAGCCTGTAGTCAAGGACAAGGCGGAAGGTGTTGAGTTGGGAGAATGTTTTGGGAGTTCAGAGGAAGGAAGGCTGGAGAGGAGGTGACATGAAGCCGGGCCTCAGAGGAGGGTGGAGCGGTTGGGGCTGGGAGTAGGGAGATGAGACAGGTGGGGCTTGAGCCTTCCAGAAAGACCATGCTCGGCAAAGTCACGGAGGTAGGGGAGTGTGGTCTGACTTAACTAGAATGTGCCAGTGAAGACTGGAGTGGTGACTGTGATCAAGGGGGCTATTGAGTGTGGAGAACTAAGTCCAAGTCCAGGGAACTGCTTCCAGGGCGGAACTTGAAACTTCCACATGCCAGGCCCCCCGGGGAATCATTCTTGAACACTCAGCGGTGCATACACAATCATATCAGCATCCAGGGCGCAACATAACACACACATATGCACATGTCAGTGTCAGAATCACATCCGTCATGAGGGGTCATACCCTGAGCCACGTGCCACATCTGTGGCTTTGTGCGGAGCCATGCACGTCCTTGGGGCTCTGTGGAGAAGTGTCCTCCCCTGGCCTGCTCCTTGGGACCAGGCGGAGACTGAGTGCGCCCTTTGGCAAACGTGAGTCAGTGGACCGGGCTCTGGAACGGTCTCCACGCAGTTGGAAGCCTGCCCGGCCTTAGGGGAAATGGGCGCCTTTGTGAAACCGGGCCCTGGGTGCCTGCCGCCTGCTCCCGTGGAAGGGAGGCAGAGCAGAGATGAGGGTTCCATCCTTCCTCAGTCTTCCCATGCCCCGCCTCGTTTGTCCTCCTCCTCCCTCGACATCCCAGTGTGGCTTCTTCCATCGGAGCAGCCAGAGCTCAGCTTTCCCCACCAGCTATCATCGGGCCCATCTGGCTGTGCAGCCCTCAGCCGTGGAAGCTGGGGGTCCAGGGACTGTGGGGTAACTGTTGTGTGTGTATGTGAGCATGTGTGTGTGCAAATATGTGTGTGCGTGTGGGTGTGGATGGGTGTGGGTACGAATAGTGTTCCCAGCATTCAGAGGATCAGGGATGTGTCGGATTAAAAAATGAGATTGCATGGGGGTGTAGTTAGAAGGACGAGTCTACACAGCCTGGGGCATGCACAGAGGATTGGGTGTGCTCGTGAGTGGGGGCATGTGGGGGCGTGGCCAGGACCCATGCACGTGCTTTCTATGGGCATGGGTGTGTGGAGATGAATGTGCGATCAGGAGCACGCAGGAGTCTTGGGTAGCTCTGAGTGTGAGTGGCAAGGGGCACGCTGCCACTTCGTGTGTAAGGGCCAGCATGGTCACAATTTACAGCGGTGCTGGATTTACTGCGCTCAAGGGTGAGGGGGCCCTGCCTCTAAGAGGGTGCTGCCCAGCGTACAAGTACACAGGGTGTTTGCGTTTTGAGATTTGGGAGGCATCATTCCAGGGATGGAGGGGTCTAAGAAGCCATTTTCTTCCTCAGATTTTTGTCTGTGTTCCCGGGGACACGACTGGGTCTCTTAAGAAGCTTGGGTTTGGGCACAGTGGCTCACGCCTGTAATCTCAGCACCTTGGGAGGCCGAGATGGGAAAATCCTGGCGCCCGGGAGTTTGAGACCAGCCTGGGCAACAGAGTGAAACCTCGTCTCTTCCAAAAAAAAAATTAGCTGGGTGTGGTGGCATGCACTTGTAGTTCTAGCTACTCGGGAGGCTGAGAAGGGAGGATTGCTTGAACCCAGGAGTTTGAGACTGTGGTGAGCTGTGATTGTGCCACTGCACTCTAGCCTGGCTGACAGAGTAAGACCTCGACTCGAAATAAAAAAACAAGCAGCTTGGGTGGGTGGAAACCTACAGAGTCAGAGGACCTTCAAGCCCCTCTTTCAGGGGCCGAGGGTTCTCAGCCCCGTGCCTTGGGGCCCCTCTGGGTTTTTCTCTTGCTGCGAATGAGAATGTGGGGACCCAGCATTGATGAGAGCTGCCCACCACACTAGATGCTGTTCAACCCATCTCCATCCTGCCCGGCGGGCTCTTTCTGTCCAAGGATGGAGAGGGCAAGCAGCTGTGCCGTGCTGGCGACTGCTCCGGGCACCCCACTCCTCAGGCTCCCCATGGTCTGGCCTGTGTCCTTACAGATGGGATTCTTCAGGCGGGCAAAGTACCCCGAGGCCGCCGTGCCCCAGTACCACGCGGTGAAGATTCCTCGGGAAGACCGACAGCAGTTCAAGGAGGAGAAGACAGGCACCATCCTGAGGAACAACTGGAGCAGTCCCCGGCGGGAGGGCCCCGACGCACACCCCATCCTGGCTGCTGACGGGCACCCCGAGCTGGGTCCCGACGGGCATCCTGGGCTGGGCACTGCTTAGCTTCCCCTGTCCCAGCTTGGCCGTGGGCCCCTCCGCCCCTTCCCCAGAGATGGCTCCTTGAATGAGGAAGGTAGTGTGGGTTGCTGGTGTCGCATCAAGATTTGACAAGATCTGCTTGCTCAGGGGCACAGAGCCCCCACTCATGAGAACCCCCCCAAACCTCCCCCTAGAATGCTGTGAGACTCGAGGGGGTAAGTCAGGGATAGGGCCGTGGGGTGGGGCGAGAATGGCAGGGATGTCCTAATGCAAGGATGGGAGAAGGGATCCCATTCCTTCCTTTTCTGGGTCTCCCTGGGGGCCTGTCTCCCTGGAAGTGCCTTAGTCTAGAGGGGTAGGAGGAGGTTGTGTCGCTGACTCAGGGGCTCCTCCCTCCCTAGTTTCCCCTCTCCTCGGACCTTAGTTGTTGCATCAGTCTAGTGGGTTTTGTCTATTTATTAAAAAATATCTGAGAATAAACCTCTGGCTTCTTGTTTCTTTACTGCATCTTGTTCCCTTACCCCAGAGCCTTCCTCCTCCTGGGGCTCCCTCATCCCCGGAGTCTGCCTCATCTCCAATTCTCTCTGGACCCCAAGCTCAGGATGAAGGTGGTGTGGGGAGGGAGGGCCAGGTGGCCTGGCAGGGATGTGTGCACGGTGACTTTTGTGACCAGTCCCTAGAGGCACACTGGTGTGTTTTCAGAAGGACGGTAGGGAGAACGTTACCATGGGAACAAAGGAAAAGGAAAGGGTGCTATCCTAGAGGGTGGGTAGGCAGAAGTTGGGAGAAGCCAGTCCAGGGATTTGCGGTTTTAAGGATACGACAGGGTATGACTGTTTCCTCCCTCTAATCAGGATAGAGATAGAACTTTTTCATGGTGGAAGAAGCGATTGGAGATTCCCCCTGGCAGAGGTCAGGAGGAGAAAGATGGGGTGGCGGGGCGAATGGCTTCTCATTCTACCAGACCTGTCTCAGTGGAAGATAGGCTGGTGGGAGCCTGGGCTGGACCAGATGGCCACCTTGGGGGCTTGGGGAAGGCTACTTCACAGCCTTTCCCATGATGTGGGGCCCGACAGGTAACCACTTGAAGGGAGGAGGCTGTCGTTCCATTTGGAGTTCAGAGAACCCGGCGTTCTCAAAGTCCTTCCAGGTTTCTCTGGTGAGGCAGCAGCCGTCCCCGATGTGTTTCCAGGTGGGCTCCAAGACTTGCTGCCACGTGAAGGCCCAGCTGCCACGTGGCTCGGCCACGTGCTCCCAGAAAAACAGCAGTCCTCCCTGGGTGGGAGGAGAGGGTTGATGTCACTTACAGCCTCCATGCAGATGCTGTTCCCCAACCTCACCTCCACTGCGCTGGTTCAGCTGGACCAGTCTCTTTGGACTAAGGGTTTATGGAGCAAACTATAAACTCTTAGCTCCTGACCCTCCTTGGCTACCACTCTCCCAATCCCACCAACCGTGCATGAGAAGGACCACGTAACTGAGGGAGATGGCGGGTGAGAAGTCTTAAAGGTTGGCCAGAACAGCTGAGGGCATACAGAAGGGGAAACTGAGAAGTGGGAGCAGATGGTTCACCGTACACAGAGACGTGCGCACCAACCTCTCCCCTGACCCTCAGATGCAAACACCAACTGCTTCCCGGATGTCTCTGTGAACATCCCAGGGAAACCTTGGGTCTCACTCGTGACTACAACTGGGGTTCCTCAAGCATGTCAGCTTATCATACTCAGCCCAGGTGATCTCATTCACCCCCACAGCTACAAGTTGGTGACGACTAAACCTATATCTTCAGGTGACATCTTTTTCTTGACTTCCTGCTCTGGGCTTTTTTTGTTTTTTAGTCAGGGTCACACTTTGTTGCCCATGCTGGAGTGCAGTGTGGCCTTAACCTCCTGGGCTCAGGTGATCCTCCCTCCTCAGCCTCCTGGGTGACTGGAACTTTAGGTGTAGTGTTACCACATCTGGCTAAGTTTTTTATTTCTTGTAGAGTCGGGGGTCTTGCTATATTGCCCAGGCTGGTCTTAAACTCCTGCCTCAAGCAGTCTTTCCACTTTGGTATCCCATAGTGCTGGGATTATAGGCATGAGCCACTGCTCCTGGCCTCAGTCTGAACTTCTAACTGCTTGGATCCTCTGCTTGGCTGTCTCAGTAGCACCTTGAACCTACTAAGTCCAAAACAGGTTTCTTCCATCTCAACAAATGGTATTTTCTTTTTCTTTTTCTGTTTTCTTTTTCTATTTTCTGTCACTCAGGCTGGAGTGCAGTGGCATGCTCACGGCCACCACAGCCTCGACCTGCTGGGCTCAGTCGATCCTTCTGCTTCAGCCTTCCAAGTAGCTGGAACTACAGGTGCGCACGACCATGCCTGGCTAATTTTTTTGATTTATTGTAGAGATGAGGTCTTGCCATGTTGCCCAGGCTGGTCTTGAACCCATGGGCTCAGGCACAAATTCTCGCCTCCACCTTCCAAAATGCTGGTATTACAGCATGAGCCACTGTGCCCCGCCAACAAATGACACTTTCTTTCTTTCTTTTTTTTTAAAAGAAAAATTCTCGTAATACTTGGAATTTATTGAACATTGCTTTGCAAAGTGCTGGCACATTGTCCTCATAGCAGCCCAACGAAGTATATGCTAGCATTATTCTTTTCTTTTCAGATGAGCGAATAAGGCACAGCGATGGCAAGTAACTTGCCTGAGGACACAGTGCTGGTAATTCTGAGAACTGGAATTGAAACCCAGTGGTTTTGACTTGCCAGCTGTTTCTTCATCCTTCTACTGTATAGCTAATAGACAAATTTGTAATGATGTGGGACAATATTCATAACTTGTAACAAATGACACTTTCATCTGCTTTCCCCTCAGTTGCTTGGGCCAGAAACCTGGAAATTATCCTAAACTCCATTCTCGCCACACCCAGTTCAAAATCTTACGGGTTCTACTTGCTCTACAGTCTCTATCTAGAACTCCTTCCACACCCTGCTTAATCCCTCAGATTTCATTTCTCTCTTTCTCTTTCTTTCTCGTCAGGGTCAGGGTCTCACTCTGCTGCAGCCTCGACCTCCTGGGCTCAGGTGATCTTCCTGCCTCAGCCTCCCAAATAGCTGGGACTACAGGCACATGGCACCATGCCCAGCTAGTTTTGGATTTTTTAAATAGAGATGAGGTCTTGCCACGTTGCCCAGGCTTGAATTCCCGGGTTCAAGTGATCCTCCTGCCCTGGCCTCCCAAAGTGCTGGGATTATAGGCATGAGCCACTGAGCCCCGTCCTCTCTGACCTCAGTTTCAAGGTCATTCCAACTTGGCGAGACCTCATCTCTACAATTAAAAAAAAAAAAAAAAAGAGCCGGGCGTGGTAGCGCGCGCCTGTAGTTCCAGTTACTTGGAAGGCTGAGGCGGAAGGATTGCTGGAGCCCAGTGGGTGGAGGCTGCGGTGTCCGGGAGCGGCCACTGCACTCCAGTTTGGGTGACAGAGTGCGACTCCAACTCAAAACAAAACAAAACAAAACAAAACAAAACAAAACAAAACAAAACAAAAACAATAAAGGTCATTCCCTTCGGTGTCTTCCCCGCCCCCCACTTCAGCAGGTGATTCTCCCTTTGCATCTCAAGTGCCCACTTGTGCCCTGTCCTGGCACTGATCGTGTCTCCCATTCACCAGCGGGGGAGGTGTGGGGGGTGGCGGTGGACGGGTGTCTAACGTGTTAGCCTGTCAGGTTCCCCATCCCGGCCTGAGCCCTGGGGGAGGAGGAGGGGGCGTGCCCCTCCGCTCTGCTCACCGGCCTCAGCACTCTCTGCACCTCCTGCAGGACCTTCCTCGGGCTCTGCACCGAGCACAGCACCAGGGTGCAGACCACCACGTCCATGGAGCCGTCAGCCAGCTGTCTCATGTCCTCCCCGGCGGCCACCACAAAGCGCTCGTATTGGAGGTGCCTGTTCTCAGCCATGCTCTTTGTCAGGAACTTATCAAAGTTGGGGTTCGGGTCCAGGCAGGTGACCCTGCAGCCCGGCGGGTAGAACTGGAAGTTGGCACCGGTGCCGCAGCCCAGCTCCAGCAGGGCCACCGCCCTCCCGGAGGCTCCTGGAAGCCCCTTGATCTGGCCGAAGAGCTCCCTTTTCTTGCGCTCCATCTTGCGGTTGCTCTTGACAGTCAGCGCGGCCATCAGGTAGGGGAAGTAGGTTTTGCACAGGGGCTGCCAGCAGCCCAGCAGGGCCATCAGGTGCAGGGGCAGCGTCAGAAGCAGCACCAGCAGCTGCAGCACTCGGACCAGGACGTCCATGGCAGCCCGGCTCTGAGCGGAGCTGCTTCCGCCGGGGCGCTGGCCTTTCCCCTCTGCTCAGCCTCTGCGGGCGCCGGCCTCCCCTCCCCCTGCCAGGAGACTTTGCTCCTCGTGTCCTGCTTGGCCGCTTCCTCTTCGCCATGGCTGAGAGGGTACATGGCAGCCCTCCAGGCGGCTCGGGCTCCGCGGCCCAACCGACTCTTCAAGTTTGATGGGGGTGAAGGGTCAGGTGGTGCCAGTGTTCCTGAGCTCTGGGGCACCGTGCCCAGCTGGGGGGG